GGTGGGATGGGCGAGCCAGGTCACACATGTGTCTGAGATGCAAGGTGCGGTGGGATGGGCGAGCCAGGCAGGGGCACCGCTGACTGCAGACCTTGCCGTCACACCGCCTGTGTGGCCCTAGGGTGATCCCAGGAAAGGGTGGCAGGGGCGATGCGTGTGTAACCCCTAGAGCAGGGGAGGGTGGGGAAAGGCTCTGTGAATCTGCGGTGAGACACACCGGACTAAGGCGCCTGCTCAGATTCATGTGAAGGGCAGAGGTAGGCATGGAGAGGAAGAGGAAGTACACAGGTGGGTGTCAAAGGAGCAATTAGAAGAACTAGGGATTCCTGGAGTGGAAACTTTCCCAGACATAAATTGATAGTGTGTATGAATGTACATGCACATTACAAGTGTACATGAAACACAACGTGCATATATTATATATCACATGTATTGCATTGCATTATAGGTCATAGGTATATATCACATGGCACATACTGATACCATGGCCACGGGCATCCTGGTGTTCCACACACACAGCAGCACCCCATGGGAGGCTCCCTACTTTGCTGAGTGCCTCAGCCCAGGTCCTTGAGGGGGTCTGGTTGCACAGCAGGGACTCGTGACTGGGGGTGATGTCTGTTCTGTGTGGACACAACCTCTCCTTCCACCCTGGCTGTCACCTCCTTAGAGTCCCTGCCAGGGGGACACCCCGGCTCCTGGTGGAGACATGCTAGGGCATGCTGACATTGTCTGAGGAGATGGAACAGCCAGAGACCTGGGTGCCAGGCCCACTGCTGCCTCTCCCATGGGGCCTTGGGCCTGTCACTGCCCCAGCCTCAGTTTCCTCCACTGTGGAAGCAAGTGGCTCAGGGAGCAGGTTGAGTCTGGGCTCAGCAGGTCTCACTGTCCTTCTGTGCTTCGTGGCTGGGCGCCACACACAAGCTTCCTCCCCCCCCCATCATCGGCCCCAGAGGCCTCCCCTGGCTGAGGTCTGCCTGCACCACTCACACTTGGCGATGTTCTCCTTGTAGGATACAGTCTTGATGGTCCAGGTGGAGACACCGTCCGTCCAGCAGAGGGAAGGGGCGGTGCAGTTCTCAGGTACGGGGACGGTGACATTCACCTGAGTCTGTGACAGATATAAGGACAGGGTTTATAATGCACAGTTCTTTTTTTCAGTGGGAGCAGCAGGTAATTGGGTGAGGAGGTCACCAGACACCTGTGTGTGCACCTGTAAACATAATACCCTCTTTCCACAGGTCACTGCAATGGCAGAAACAAGAGGCAGCTGAGATAAGCCAGGTGACATGTGAGTAATGACACAGCAATGATGCAGCTGTGGTAGGGGGTGGGGTGATGGTTTGTCCGTCTTACTCCTTCTGTCTATTCACTCACCATTCAGTCATTGCTCACGGATCAATCAGTGAGCATTTTTTTTTAGGGATCCCACATTTTTCATTCTTCTACCTTTTCCCATAAAGCAGTTAAAAGCATTAACCCACTTAGCAATATTCTTATTAGCTTACCACATTGGTCAACGTTTTGCACCAAATCTTGACCAGACTCTTGTTTTCTACTGACATGTCATTCATCGCAATCTGGCCGATCACTTTTTTATCCAGCTGAGGAAGGAAATAGAAAACAGCAGGCCGTCAGAGCTCATGTGGGAAAGACATCAGGGATTTGTGGATGGAGAGCTTCTGAGGTCATGAACTTGACTGTGAATCCAGGCAGGAGTGAACTGGGACCCCCTAGCTGCAGTCTCAGTATGGAAGCATGGCACCTAGAGTTTAGCAAGTGTTTAATAATAATGAAAGGTCATATACTCAAACACGGGTATGTAAGAGCATGTTGCAGGTATTCAAAGGATGACCACCGACAGGGGAGCATGAGCTCAGAGGAAAGAGAAGTCTCAGCTGGCCCTTTCTTTCCAACCTGCATGAGCAAAGCTTTCCTTCAGTGAAATGTGAGCAATGGTCATCAATCTTTCAGTAAATGAAATATTTGCATCCATGATATGGACTTCCTAGTGACCAGAGGATGGGATGTCTCCTAGAAGGAAAGGACAATGATTTTCTATTTTTGCTTTTAGTTGGACACTTGTCAGATGAGAATTAAGATAAGCTAATCCTTTTTCAGGGATGCCACTACCCCTGTGAGGGGCAGTGGGAGCAAATTGTGCCTTTGAGTCTTTAGAACTCAACTGAAGGGCCCCACCTCTTGCACTTATCCCAGTAAAGATGGTGCATGTGTTAAAGTTGAGGTACAAAAGAAGCCATTGTTCTGTCAAGTGTCCCCAGAGTTCTACCTCCACTGGCCATTTTCAGAGGCAACAGTAGAGCAGTGGCCCTCCACCCTGCTCAGCATTCCTGGTTACTGGGGCTCAGGGAGGCCTTCACACTCAGAGTGGTGTCACCTGGACAATGAGCTTTGTGAAAGGATCTGTGATGACTTTCAGGAGTGATGGTTCGTCTTCCCCATTCTTCAAGTGGAAGCTCTCTAGCACCGCGTTGGTCAGGATCTCCAGGTAATGGGTAGCAGCCTCGACAGGCAGGAGTACAAGCACAGTGAGCCAGTTGAAGAAGTCGTGGACGGTGGCACCTGCAAAAGCCCTAGCCAGGGGCAAGTCAGGTTAGTCAGTGAGCGAGCAGGCGCCAGTGTGAGCGGGTCAATCATGCGTCCGTTGTGGCTCTTTGTGGACACACAGGTGAACACCCTCTTTTTCCTTCTCGCTGCAGCCCCCAAAGTAGGTAGAATGTATAGCTCCCTTCAACCACCAACGACACAGAAATCACCCAGCCTGTGGGATGAAGGTCACTGCACGGTCAGGCCCAGCACCCTGTCCCCCCTGCCTAGACAGCCTTTTCTAGAAGATCGAACAGCATTCGGTTCTCTTTGCTGCTGGTTAAGCTTCAGTTGCAAAATTAGTCCAGGGCACACTGAGTGGAAGGATTGCTTCAGACCCCTTTGGAATCGTGCACATTGACGACCCTTGACTTTCATTTGAAATGATGGGCATACACATGACGGTAATTACTAAAACCCTTAATTCAGTGCATCCCGATGTTCTTTTTTTAAAGATCTCGCGACTCTGATGGAACATTTGAACAACCCCCACCTGAACACAGCTAATATGAACTACGGTTTGCATCTACCTAAGAAGAGACACATGGACTCCCTGAATTCTGCATTATTTCCTGGGTAAGAAACGCTAGACTTTATTGGTAAATGATACAGTTCCCTTAAATACACCTGCACATCAAAAGCCCCCAATTCCACGTGGGACAAGAGCAGGAAATGTCAAGCCGCTGCCCCCCTACCCCCCCCCCCACCGAGGGAAGGCCCCAGCGTGGGCTCCCGTGGGCCCAGGGGCGTGGCTGGCGCCGACCTCCTACCTCCGGAACTCACTGCGGTCTCCTGCCTGCATGAGCGCCACGATGGTGTTGGTGATGGAGGTCCCGATGTTGGCCCCCATGACAATGGGGATGGCGGTCCTCACGGTCAGCACTGAGGGTGGGTAAGGCGGTTAGCACTTGGAAGGCAGCGTGACCACGGCCTGATGGCCCCTACCGCAGCTGATGGCAACCTCTTTGAGGTCAGCACTTGCTGTGACTCTGCCCGAGGCTAGGGCGACTCTCCATAGAAGGTACACGCAGGTACCCCTCTAACATTGAGGTCTGTTTCCAGACTGAGCTATGAGGAGGGAAACAAGCTTGTGGGGGTAAAGTGAGGGGCTCCCAGCTGGATGGAAAAATCGGGATGGGGAGGGCTCCTGGGAGCCAGGACTCACGCGAGGAGGCCACCATGCTCACGATGATGGACGAAGACGTGCTGGAGCTCTGCACCATGACTGTGACCAGCACCCCGATCACCAGCCCCGCCACGGGGTTGGACATAACAGAGTTGTTGCTCAGGAACTGTCCGGCGAGCTTCCCTGGAAAACAAAGCCGAGACCACAGGGGATTAGGCCGGTCCGTGGGCACAGACCTCTACACGGTGCCCAGGGCAGAGCCCAGAGCCCTCCATTCCTGCTGGGGCCCTTGCAGCTTTCTCCCTTCGCCTCTCCCCAGGACACCGAAGCCACGCCCCTCCACACGCACCCTCCCCATCCTGCTCCCCTACCCTCCCACTCTCATAGAAGAAAGCCCTGGAGATGCTGCCTTGACCTAGGGGACCAAAAGTGACGTCCAGAAAGTCACACAACCCATGAGTGCTCGCCCCAGCCTCTCAGGTCGCTGGTGGCAATCTCATCCAGCCCGGGGACCCAGCCACCCTGTGTCGCGGGTCTGGGGCTGGCCCTGCGAGGCCTCGTAGGCTGTGACCGATTCAGCCCTGGCCGCTGGGAAGAGGCTCGCGTGGGTCATGGCCCCTGGATGGCTCTCAGTTCCGTCGTTTGTAAAACACAGAGGCTGAGGTGGCTTCCGATGCGAGGAAACAGGAGCTGCCCATGAGACTTGGCTGGGACGCGACTGAAGCCAGGCCTGGAAGGACGCACCCAGGTCCTCCCCGCGTACCTCCCACCAGCTGGAAGGCGCTGCTGAGCACGTCCAGGGAGCACACGAACAAGTAGAGGAACGCCAGGAGCAAGACGAATTTCCCGGCCCTTTGGAAGACGCAGAGAAACTTCCCTCTGGTGTCCCTGTCTGGAGGAGGGGAAAGGCACAGAGGCATTGAGTGTCTGGAACCCCGCGGAGCCGTGGCGGCCCCTGCCACCCCAGGAGCAGGCAGAGCTAAGGGCGCGCCAAGCACTTACAGAGCAGCACAAGCACTTTCTAGAAGGTGGGTGCAAGCAGCCATCGCCACTGCACTGGGGGAGCGTGGGCCGCCACCCCTGGAACCGCGCGTCCTCGACTCCTGTTTCTCCGCTCACCTCCAGGTGCTCCTCACTCCTCCTCCTCCCTCCCAGCCTGCCCAGCTGTCTGACCACACACAGAACTTTCACCTGCCCCTGAACTAAGTGCACTGCTTGCTGGCACCCTGCTGAGCTGGGGTGCATTCTGCTCCTGCAGACTTCCCTGTGGACTGCCTGCAGGGGAGGCGACACCTCAGCCCAGCTCATGGCTCTCTGCGCACCCCAGCCTCTACCTGGGACAGGTGAGTCACCGTGGGTCTGAGGGTCAGCCGGGGTCTGCCCGAGGCCTCCAACCCCCAGGGCACCCCGCCAGGGCCTCTGCTCCAGGGCAGGAGACCCTGGGGAGCTGGGGCGACATGAGTCACATGAGGCGGCGAGCTTGGTCCCTCTGCTGCCCCCCCCCCGTGTTTACCTGCCCACTTGATGCCCTTGTCCTGAAGGGCAGGCAGGTCCCAGGGGTCTCCCTCCTCCGCGGGCTCCTCCACCAGAGCCACAGTGGAGCAGGCCAGTGCAAGTTCCGTCTCGGCTCCGGGGGCGCCGGGTTCCTCTGTCCAAAGGAAGGCCAGCGTGAGGCACGGGGGGCAGAGCTGGGAGGCCCTCGGGGGGCCGCCGAGGCGGGTGGCCTGCACTCACGTCTGCGGGTGTCCTCGGCCCCTGCGGGCCCTGTGCACGGGGGGCTGGCGGCCCCCTCCAAGCAGGCCCGTGGGGCGTCCTCCAGCTCCGGGCAAGAAGCCATGGTCTGGGGGAAAACAGAGTTAGGGGAGCAGCGGGCGAAAGGAGGGGCCTCCACTGGTCATGGCAGGGAGAACCGGGGCTGCAGGGGAGTGGAGAGTGGGGTGGTCATCACCAGAGGTGAGCCGTGGTCGGCACCAGATTTCACCCATGGCTCGTCTCTCCAGTTTGCCAAAGGCCTGAGCTAGAGTCATGGGGGACATCTCCCCAGATACCCTCAGAGGGGGCCTGCTCCCTTGCGCCACCCCGAGGCTCTGAGCCGGCTGCTGCCCCCCGCTGCTGCCGCTGGCCACGTGTGGTGCGTTTATAATTTCCCCCGCTGCCAGCCCTGTTCATGGCAGACAAAGCCAAGGCACAGAGAGATGAAGGGCCCAGGCACCTGCGCCTTCAGGGGCAGCTCACACGGGGCTGGGGACCCCGCTGTCCTAGCTAGGCTCAGCACCTGCTGGCCTGGCCACCCCAGGACCCAGCCAGGACAGGGCCCTGCCCAGGGGCCTCTCCTGCAGCTGCCTGCCCAGAGGGGTAAGCGGCGCTCCCAGGCCACGGGGAGGGGCGGGGGTGGGAGAGGCCTGGGCGCACACTCGGGGGGGACTTGAGGCTCCAGGGATGCACCGAGGGGATGGTACAGGGAGCCCAGGCCCTCGCTTTAGACCAGGGCTTCCCCCGGAAGGGCCATCACACTCAACTTCCAGTCTGTGTTTAAGGCGTTGGAACAGATTCTGGATGCGGGAACGACACCGGCCTCTTTGCACTGACCTGTGGGGCTGTGCGCGTGAGCTGGCGGATAGAACCATCCGAAACATCTCACTGCTGTTCGCACTGAGTTCACTGGGCTGTCCTGTCTCCCAGCCCAGGGTGAACGGGGGTGGGGTGAGGGTGGCAGAAGTGGCAGCAAACGTCTACTCCAAATCACAACTCTCACAACTCACGAGAAGTTGTTGTCGACGTGATACTGAATTTGGGTCATTTTTATGTCACCTCGGGTCAACGGCAAACCCAGAGGGCCCTCTCCCACCACTAGGGATGTTTTCAACGAAAGGAACGCGGTGGTGGGGGGCAATACCACCACCCCTCCCCTTTACCAGCATGTCTTTTTGCCAAAGTTGCCAAGTGACAGAGAGAGGTGAGAGCTGGGCAGCGGCCCCTGCAGGGAGCCCAGCTGTTCCCAATGCCAGCCCAGAGCAGGCGCAACACTGCCCCTCGGAGGGCAAAAGCGGCCAAGGAGAGCCCAGGGGCAGAGCCAGCACAGAAAGGTCTGGGGACCCGGCCTGGGCAAGAGGGGTGCGGTGTCACGAGAGCCCAAGCGGCTCCCCTGACTTAACCCACAAGCTGCCCCCCTGACTTCAGCCTTTGGACCAAGTAACCCCCCACCCCCGGCCCCTGCCCAGGGACAGCTCAGGCTCCCTCAGCCCTGGGAGTCTGAGGACTGAGCCCACTCCATCCCTGTGCCCCTCAATCCTGACCTGGAGGGGCTCAGCCCCCCTGCAGGTCCTGTAAGCCGCCCGCCCCGGCAGCCTCTGCTCTGAAAACACTGAGCCCATGGGGTTCTGCTGTCCACACAAGGGAAGCCAGGCCTGTCCTGGGGGCCCCCTGCCCTGACGGCAGCGGCAGCTGGCTCCAGTCAGCTAGTCACCCTGGATGGTGACCCCACGGACAAGGAGGGGAGCACGTGGAAGTCACCCTGGGGCGTGACCTCCTGGGGCCACACACCTAGATCCCAGCCCAGGAAGCCTCGGTGCAGTCCTGGGTCCATCTGGGGAAACTGAGACAAGATGCACAGGGACCTGCTTGAGCGTCTCGCAGCTATGAGCGTCCAGAAAGAGCCCGTCACCCCCTCGCTGAGAGCTTCCATTACCCCCTGCTTCATCCCAGCCAGGCATCTGTGACCCCAGTCACCCAGGTGTGGCTGGGGAGTAACCCGGTCACACAGTGTAGTCAGAGGAATAAGAGCAATGGCTGTAACATGAAGATGGGGGAGGGGGGTGGATCTCAATTGGAGGAAGGTTTAGAATTTTCTACAGACCCACATCTGCCAGTTCCCTAGGTCTGCGTGAGGAATATTGAGAAGAACTAAGGAAACTAAGATTCTCTGAAGTACATGGGACAAGAGCAAGCGCTCCTTTTACTCACCAGGGCTCCCTGTGCAGGTAACACCGAGGATGGTCCCATGTGCAGGCCAGCCCAGGTGTATATAGGGAAGGTGTTAGCAGAACAGCTGCTGTCACCTCACCCCCAGCATGTGGTAAACAGGCCCCTCTGCCTTTACAGCACTCCCAGCAGCCCCTGAGAGAATGCAAATTTGCAAAGAGAAAGCCTCCCTTCTCTAATCCAGTGAATTGGAAAGCATGGCTCCACCCAGGACCACCTTTTTTTTCAAATGTGATGGTCTCAGAACAGGTTGATCCTGTTTGATTCTAGTTTTGCATCATAGGTATTTATTTATGTGGTTGAAAGTAGCATTATTTTTAACATTGTCAATAACCCAAGGCATTGGATTATCAATTTTACAATTTATATTAGTGTTGGAGGGAGGCTCGACGGTGTGTGTGTTTGGGTGGCTCTGAAATTTCTTTTGGAAAAAAGCGTTTGTAGAGTAATTTCCTATCTTCATTCCTTTGCAGAAACAGAAAACAAATTAGATCCTCAACATTCCACCTGTGTTTACACACAAGCTTCTAAAATCTTCTCGTTCTGCACTTTCTTCTGCCGGTTGTGGTTGTTGTCCCACGAGATAGCTGGCGTGGACTGGGTGCCATGGAGTCATCACGTGACATGGAGACCCGCCTGGCGCCACACCATCTTGCCCCAGGTCACAAAGTGTGACCTGCAGAGCCCACATTCCTCACTCGGCCCCAGCCAGACGTGTACAGACGTTTAGAAAAATGCAGCCCCTCAGTGGGCGTGGAGTCAAGACACTGATAGTTTTACTGCAGACACACAGGGGTTGCTATTAAGGGCAATGCATTTGTCGATCCACATGAGCTTTTATGGCAGGTTGGAGATCAAAACTGCTGCTGAGGCTCACCCAGGACAAGTGCTGTTCTAACTCGAGTACATTGTCCTTAGTCTGTACTGTCCAGTGAGGATGATAAAGAGGGCAGCAGTGGGCCTTGGGGAAGTTCAGCAGTGACAGGCTGGTGATGGCAATTCGGAGCTGCCCCCAGTTACCAGGTACACGGCATCATCACCAAAGGCCTTGAACATGTGCCCCCTTTCCTGAGAGGTGTATTTGTTTACCCCCAAGGTCTTGTGGGCTGAGTGGGGTGAAGCAGAATGACACCCAGAAGCGGATGTGACCATAGGCTGTACAATATACTGCAGAGCAGACGGGTGAAGACAATCTGGGGTGAGCGGATGCCAGGCAGGGGCAAGGATCTCGCATGAGTCTCACGTACACATTACCTAAATGTCAAAGGCAAGACATGAGCTTTCCAGGAGCAGAAACTTCATGAAAGTCCAGGAGGGAAAGGCTTGATAAACAGGATGCAAGGTGCACTAACTGCGAAGCTGCTTTTCAGAGAGTGGAAAGCTAGCCAGAGCAGAGGGAGAGCCCTGCAGCACACATAGCTGGCGGAGAGCTTGCTCCAGACCATGTAAAGAGTGACTGTATGTCAATTAAAAGAAAAATGCAGGTGAAAAATGGCCAAGAGAGAAGTTCCTCAGTGACAACAGGCAGCAAACAGTGCAAGATGCTCAGTGTCACCACCGAGGGAAACGTGACTCAAACGCCAGTGACAGCGCAGTGCAGGCCCGTCTGCCCCAGGCTGTTCTTAGAGAAAGTGCAGGGTGTCCCCGAGAGACCCCCTGGCCCCCAAGCCTCCAGGCACAGCTCCGTGGTGCTCCGGGCCATTTCCACTAACAGGCGGCAGTGGGAACAGGTGAGCAGGCGGCCAGATGCTCGCTACTCCCTCAGGTAATTCTCACCTGTCCAAAGGGCCAGCTTTGTAGTCAAAATGCTGACAGCATATGCAGCAAAGAAAGTGAATGCTTTATTTGTTGTTCCATGGCCCCAAATGTCTGGGTCTCATCCCGGTGAAGCCCATGCAAAAGCTTGGCTTCGGCCAGACAAAAGCTTCCCCATCTGACTCCACCTGTATGGAATTCCCACACCAGACCAGACCGAGCCTCGGGGTTCAGGAAGGCTCAGGTGGACCATTCTTGGGGAAGGAAGCAGGAGCACCCCAGCGGTGGGTCACTTTGTTGGGGAGCTGTTGGCGGGGTGGAGAGGACAGGAGGGGTTGCCGAGGCTCGCAGTGATGGGGCTGTTGATGCTGGCAGGGGTTCGTCAGCTGCGCTGAGGCCATGTGTGTTTTCTTTCTTCTACTATGACTACCTCATCACTGAGAGGTTCAGAAAATGGGGGGCACGGGGGTGTGGGAGGCAGGTGGGCCCTGGGTTAGACCCCAGGGTTTGCATCCTTTTGAGTCGCTGAACAGACATCAGCATTCAGTGTGACGGGCAGTCTTTCAGTGGTGCATGTGAGTGAGTGGGCGTCTTTCTTAGTCTGCAGTAGGGAGGGGTGTCAGGCTGCTGAGTGGGGCTGCTTGCTTTTCACCAAGAAGTCTCCTCATGTCAGCTTAGAGAAAAGATGACATCTGTTTGACTTAAAGTAAGTTCCACATAACTAACAGTCATCAAGTTGTGTATAAAGCAAGATGAGACTGAAAGGTCTGAAGGGATCATCTATTACCACCTACGTCTGATAATAACATCGACTTTGGATACTCAGAAAGCTTTTCTTATTCAAGTGTACTCGACTAGCTTCTAAATAGTTGAGCCACTGGCACTAAACTCCCGCTTGGCAGGGATCTATTAGGGACTGAGAAGCCTGTCAGCTAGTGAGCTCATGTGCCGTCAGGGGCTGGACAACCTGTGTACGTGGATCATCATTTGGGTGTCTCTGCTCGGGTCCAGGGCAAAGGAAGGACTGACTTTTCCTACCGCGCTGACTTTCTGCTTCCAACACTCATAACTGCTCCAGGTCCTTTGTTCCTGCCTTTTCCTCTGCCTGGAACATTCTCCCGATGCTCACAGGACACTCCTAATCTTGCAGTGAAATTCCTAAGCTCACAGAGACCTTTATCAAGCAATTCCCAATACTCACTCAATTTGCATTTCCCTCAGAGATTGTTTTATGACTTTTTTTTTTTTTTGCCAGTAATTTCCAGCTACTTGGTTTCTCCCAAGGACAAGGGGAGAACTGGTGGCCCAGACTTCAACTTGAATAGTTCAATTCTACATTTTCAAACAAGGGATTTGAAGGACTAGCCTAAACATTGTTTATGGCGTTATTTACAATTAATCCATAATAATTAACTGAAACCAAAATTTAATGTAATAATTTAAAGAAAAGGAGGAACTCACAGCTTCGGACTAAGGTTTGAACGCCAGCCACGAGGTTTGAATCTCCCTCCTGTTCTGCGGGGTCTCCAGCTCACAGACCTGGATGGAGAAGCCAAAGGAAGAACTCAGTGAATCCCGAGCAGCTGTCCACAGTCTCTCCTCACCCCAAAGTTGGGGCATTTCTTAGTCCTGTTCTCAGCATTTACCAGAGAAAGGCACAACGTGGGTGGGGCTTGGAGAAAGGGGGTGTGTGTTGTTTCAGGAGAAGGCAGACAGTGGGCGCCTGTTCACACAGGGCTGTCACCAGCTGGGCCTCTGGCTGGGCAGTGGCCCTGCCCCACAGGACTGGGTATTTAGATGTTCCTGAAGATACCGCTTGTGGTGGCAGCAACTGGAAACCATTTGAATGAAAGTATGGAACTTGAAGTTGAGCAATCTTTTGTCCGTTGAGCTATATTACAAGCTGTGATACAGGCTAAACTAGATGACTAGATAGTCACTGTTCCCTACAACTGACAGAATCTTTACATCAAGTCAACCGTGCCCGCAGAAAAAGCAAGCAGAGCTTTAGATTTAGGAAGAGGAAAGAGGTAGCAAGATGCATGCTCATTAAAACAGGGTGTTATGGCTACATATGTTCACACACTCACCCAGAAAGTGTGCCCCTCGTAGTCACCCAGACAAGCATTTAGCTCTGTCACTCACTGGACTGGCAAAATCCTAATTGGATCCTCAGTTAGTTTCTTTTTTTTTTTTTAAGATTTGTTTTATTTATTTATGCATACAAGAGCTGGGGTGTAGGCCAGAGGTATGTGGAGTGTGTGTGAGGGGATTTACTAGAGACAGAGTGGGGAGCAGAACAGGCCAATCCGTTGTACTACACTGCTGAGGGAGCAGCGGGGAGACAGGTGCTGCACCCTGTGGGCCACCTCCGGGGCCGGGGATCAAACTCATGCTTCAGTGGCTAGTGGCAGTTTCATAGCACTGAGTCTTACGCCCCGTACCAGGAAGGAGGCCCCTCTTCTGCCAGTTCAGTAGCTGGTAGACTCAGATACTCCCAGTCTGTAGAGGACAACCTAAGAAGGAGAAGCTTCACTGAACCTGGAGTTTTAAAGTTGACTTCCCGTCCAGTTTATAAATCTTTTAAAAAGTACTTTGACTCAAAGTAGAGGATTTATGCAAATGTCTCGTCTGACTACAAAGTGTCCCTAGACCGGGTGCCAGTACCTGTCACTCCTGGTCACTGTGTCCCCTATATCCACTCTTGTTCAATTACCCTGACTAGCAAGAGCTCCTCAGAGAATGGCCAAACACGTACATCTGCGTTCCAAAAAGTCAAGTCCATGTGCCCTCGACAAACTCACATAAACACCCATCTCAAGTGGAAAGGCGACCCCTGACTGGGTTCAGATAATTCATTGCCTTGCTTGAATTGCCCCAGATTCAAGTTACCCTGAAGAAGTCACCATGTTTTGTAAGCTGTGGTTGCTAATTTGTTTAATGTGGAAGGTCACAAAGATCCAGATCTCCACTCTGCTCTAAAGTTATGCTTTTAAAGTCAGGATCCCCTTTGTTTGCCTCTTGTCAGGCTTTATCAGCACAAAGGTATTTTGGATAGTTTTGTTTTGCATGTGAACCCAGTGCTCAAGGACAGGGCAAGTTCTGTTTGTGTTCAAGTCCTAATGGTCCTTATCTTTGCCTCCTGGGCTTCACACCCTACTTGCTTGGAATGAAGGCAGTTGAGTTCCAACTATTAATTCAAAAAGCCAAGGGTGTGGAGAAAAAGGAATTCTCCTACATTGTTGGTAGGAATTCAAACTGGTATAACCACTATGGAAAGTTGTGTGGAGGTTTTTCAAATTGCTAAAAACAGAGCTTCCATATGATCCAGCAATTACACTCCTAGGTATCTACCCAAAGGACACAAAAACAATAATTCAAAAGGACACCTGTACCCCTATGTTTATTGCTACCCTATTTATAATAGGGAAGATGTGGAATCAACCCAAAAATGGATGACTGGATCAAGACGATGTGATATATATATATCTATATCTAGCTAGCTAGCTAGCTATACAATGGAATATTGCTCAGCAATCAAAAAGATAAACTCATGTCATTTGCAGCATCATGGATGGAACTGGAAAAGATCATGCTTAGTGAAATAAACCAGAAAGAAAAAGAAAAATACTGGATGGTTTCACTCATAGCAGGAGTATAAGGGAAGTATAAGGGATCAGGAAAAAAGATAGATATATATATATATATAGTGAGAGAGAGAGAGAGAGAGAGAGAGGGAGAGAGAGAGAGTAATTGTAATAAAGTAAAAAAGAACAACAACTAACAACTATAAGAAACATTCTTCGGGGGAAGAGAGGGGAGCAAGATCAAAACGGGGGTGGGAAGAGCCCATGGGACTACGGTGATAACACATGGGTGAAGTGGTGGTGGGAAGCCCATGGGGATTATTACAACTGAGATGAAAAAATGTACAAAATGAAGAATAATGTAAAAAATAATGTATTTATAAAAATAAATAGCGTGTTTATAAAATAAAGTGATTTATAAAAACAAACAAACAAACCAAAAAAGCATTTAGAGAGTATTTCTGGCCCACCTCAGAAATGATTCCCTCAACAAATCTTTAAAGGCTGAATCCACACCCTTTGACTTCTTTCTTACCCACTGATGATGGGGGGGGCGAAGGGGCCGTGGCCTCAGATGCTGCCAGAGGTCGAGTAAGATGGCAGAGCCCTGAGGCTGGGTTAGCACTGAGGCAGGAAATCACAACCTTCATAGAAACTTTTGCCCGGTACAACCAGAGGCCAAGGTCTTGTTAGAATGGATTCAAGAGAGAGCAGGATGGAGGAAATCAGTAGAGACTGATCTGAATGAGTCCTTCAAAGAATTTCACTCGTTACATAAAGAGAACAAAAGAAAGCCAGTAGTTAAAGGCATGTGAGGACCACGGGGTGTGTTTTCTAAAGATGGGGGATGGAGAAGGGGGGTTACTTTCAGGAAGTCGCCTGGGAGCTGATGAGGGGAGAGTGGGGGAGGGTCACGTGTGACAGGGCCCACTGTTCCCTTGTAGGAGGGAGGCAGAGCAGATGAAACAGCTGCAGGACAGCTGTGGCCCGGTGAGGGCTGGGCGCGTTCTCGGGACCTCCGTCTTCTCAGCAAGGTCAGGAGCAGTGTTCCCAGCTAGAGTGAGGAAGGCGGTTAGTGGTCCCTGCAACTCAGCCAGACACCCCACAACTGTCGCCTCCAGAGCATAGCTGCAGCCAGCCTGCCTCACTGGCCTGCTGCAGAGTCTCAGGGCAGCCTCTGCTGGCTGAAGCTCTGGCCTCCTCCTGCTCGATATCTACCCACCCACTTGCATCCAAATCTCACCCAGAGGCTGCTGAGCTCACCCACACTAAGAGAGGTCACTTAAGAGGGCAGGGATGGCTCCCAGCAGGGTGGAGCCAGACCATGCAGTCGGCCTGGTGTGAAGCGAAGTCTGTGCAGCCACCAGCTGCTGCCCACCCGCTCTCTGGTGGGTGAAGTGGGAGAGAGACCCTGGCTCCAGCTGTGCACGGACCCTGGTGGGAAAAAACAAAACAAAATGAAAACACCCTCTGTGTCAAGCACTGAGCTGGGAGGAAATAGAATAGAGGCTATTCATGGCTAGTAAGCCCCCTCCACCGACCCCCATTTTTAAAAATTTCATCATTTCCATGATGAACAAAGGAATTCTTTTTCAAATACGGGACTGGGCTGGTTTTCAAGGTATAACTTAGGACTCACGGGGTTTCATGAACTCCTTCCCCTCAGTGCCCCAGTTATCCTGGGCTGGAAGGAAGACGCGGGGCAGCAAGAGTCTGGGGAGAGGGTGAGCTCCAGCAGTCCTGCTCTTATCTGCTTTAGCTGTACACATCGAACAACATTGCTTAGATGATTTCTAAGGTTTATTCTAATTGAAACCTCCATGCATCTGTGTTATCTGTAAATTGTTGAGATGCGCGCGAACACTGAGATTTTATCTGGAATATGTTTCCAAGGAGTTTATGCAAGATGGGCCCTGATACTCCTTGAGAGAGAAGAGAACTCTGACAGCTTCCTGGTGAGAGGCTCAGAGGCATCACAGAGCCTAGAATCAGAAGGGGACACTCTGGAATCTCTGGAAAGAGGTGGAACTTGGTCAAACTTGTATAGAAACATTCACAGGAAAATATTTTTGAAGTACTGACCCATTGAAGATAAAAAAGCAACCGCCCTCAGGTGCGAAGGATCGATGAGTTTGTTACGGGGTCTCGTAAAGTGATCCTAAGTCATCAGGGTAGCGCCTGGCAGAAGAGCGCATGTGTGTTCTAGTCCGTTCCATTCTGAATGACATCACTGCACGCACCTGGCACTGTGCAGCTGTTCGGAAAGGCTGGTTGTTCTGCCTGCCACAGCTGACGCCTGTTCAGTGGTTCGAAAGGCAGGGTCCTACCCCAGAGCCTGCCCACTTCCCACACCCCTACGCCCCCTGTTTCCTGAACCCCTCAACCATGAGGTGTTCAACAGGCGTGGGCGTGGGCGGGGGGAACAGCCTGGTACGTGGCCTGGCTGTTTTCATGAGCACCCTGGTGGGCCCACCAGGGACAGGACTTCTCATAGGGGTCAGCACAGCTGGAGAACCCCTTCCAAAGTCAACAGCCCCAGCACTGCGCGCTTCAGCAAACCTTCCTGTCCCCTCAGCTCTGCCCACGGCTTCCCAACAAAGTGACGCCCTCACTGCCTGAGAGTGTGCTTGTGTGTTTGGAGTAAAACTATTAATGTCTTGACTCCACGGGGCTGCCCAGGCTCCACTGCCAGTCTGCATTTTTCTAAAAATGGGAGGTTTCAGCTTCTGCACATGTCTACCTGGGGCTAGGCAAGGAATGTGGGCTCTGCCCATCACGATTTGTGACCTGGGACAAGATGGTGTGGTTCCAGGTGGCAGGCTTCCATGTCATATGATGACTCCGTTGCACCCAGTCTGTGCTACCTTGTAGGACATTGAGGCAGGGGAAGTGTGAAAGGACATTAGAAGGTCACATAAGCACAAGATTAATGTTTAAAGGAATGACAGCACCCCCTGAGATATTAAAGGATGTTTCCAGATTGCCACAATAAAGCAATATCACAATAAACTAAATAGCATGGATTTTTGGCTTCCCAGTATACTGGCTCTATATTGCAGTCTGTTAAGTGTACAGCAGCACTGTGTCTACCAAACTAATGGAGTCCAGTGTTCTAGAGTTTCCAGAGATCCTTGACTTCAGTGCAAGAAAGAATGTGTGTGGGGAGTCAGAGTAGGTGAGACTGAAAGAAAGGATTTTATTATGGGAATAGTACACAGTCAAGAAAAAGAATGTGGGCAGATTAAAGGCAATTTGTGCCTTGAGTCTTAAGACTGGCTGTATATGCATGGACACTGACACACAGAGACATACACAATCAGACACGCAGACATGCTGACACAATACACAAACACACAGTTACACACAGACACACACACACAACTAGACACACACATAGATACAAACACAGAAACGGACACACAGAGAGAGAACAAGCACACCGATACACACACACACATTATATATTCACAGCTGGGCTCCTTAACAAGTTTTGACCGGCTTTGATTCACAAGACAACGGGAACATAACTTCCTCCTGGTTAAGGGTAACAGAATTTTAAAGCAACAGCACAAATGAGACAAAATGAGTCTGACCTATCAGGGTTGGGGTCACCTTCGCCTTGTTCTGAGTTGCATGGCGGGGCAGGGTGTAGCCTCTGTGCTAAAAGCCCTTTCTAGCTCCAAAACATTGTATATACCTTAATTTGAAAATACTTTAGTGCTGAAAAATACCAACCATAATCTGAGTCTTCAGTAGGTCATAATCTTTTCCCCGCAAATCTATAAACTGTAAAAGATGCAATTTCTGGGAAGTGCAGGAGTAAAGAGCCCTAAAGCCAGGCACGCAGGTACTAAATACTGAATGTGTCCTTTCCGAGAGGGGATGAGGACAGGGACTGTTCTGTGCCAACATGTTCCCCTAAAGGCGGTGATCCCAGTGATGCACCCCCACAAACCCCAAACCACCTTTCTTCATGCAAACCAGTGTTCCAGGAATCACAGCAGCAGGGCTGGCTGACTTGGGGCTCACTCAGTGTCACCAGGGCTGAGGGGCCCAGCTGGGTGACAACCTCCACACCCCCAGGCTCAGAGGTGCCGCCCCAACCTTGGGGCCGCTGTTCCCTCTGGACACATGAGCACAGGGAGGCAGGGAGGCCAGGGGCTGATGGGACATGGCTCTCGGACAGTGGGACCCCAGAGTGTGTGTGTCACCCCATTTCTCAGTGAGAAGCCACTGCCCAGCTCTGCGGTCCCGGGGAATCTCCTGGCTCCAGCAGGTTCCCCCGCTGTTCCTGGGGGACCTGGCACCAAGTTTCACTCACCAGCCTCAGTTACCAGCGGGTCATCGGGCAGAGGACAAGGGTCTGGCTTTGGAATGAGACCCAGACCTTCAGGGCCTCTGTTCGTGGCAAGAACTGGGGTACAGGCCAGAGGTGAGGAAGTGAGAGGATGCACCTCAGACAGAGTGGGGAGCAGAACAGGCAGATGTACTGAAGTAATCTGCTGAAGAGAGCAGCAGCAGGTCAGGAGAGGTCAGCCTACCCACGTGGGTCAGTTCCTGGCCGGAGATTGTGCTTGTGGCAGTGGCAGCTGACAGCGTCACAGTGCTGTGCTTTAACCTGCTGTGCCACCAGGGAGGGCCCAAGAGTTGTTCTTGCCACTGGGCTTCCCTGGGGGAGCAGGAAGAGGAGCCAGAGGGTTCTCAGTTGTGGGGGTGTGTAGAGCCAGGAGCCCATCCAGGATGCCCTCAGCCAGGCCTCTTCCAGCGCCTCTTCTCCCGCCTGGGCAGGGCATCTCTCTGCTTAGTCCCCAGCTGCCCAAGGGTCTTTCCCTCTCCGCCTCCCCTGTCAGGAAGCCAGATGTGGCCTGGGGCAGCAGGGAGGGCAAGAGCCAGCTCAGGAGCCTGGGGGTGGAGCCAGTCAGCAGCCTCCTGGTGGTGTCCTGGGCCCCTCCCTGGGGAAGCAGGTTCCGGGCGGCCCCGCCCTGGGAGCACTGGCCTCCCCTCCAGCCAGGTCCCTGTCTCTCTGTTCAGCCCTCCCTGCTCAGCCCAGGCCCAACCACAGTGGCAGGTGCCGGGGCCAGGCCTGTGCCTGCCAGAAGCCTCAGTGGGAGCTCAGCAGCCTGTCAGCGCAGCCCTGTCTGCTGGCATTTCCAGCCACGTGAGTGACAGTGGACCCCAGCTGAGGGACGCTGAGGCCAGCTATCACTCCCCGGGGGCCCCTTGTGCTGCAGTGCTCCGGGGCCGGAGGACGCCTCCTCCTCACACCTGCCCCGGGTCTGTGGGAAGGCTGCATGCTGACCTGAGAGGTCAGTCCCGGCCTCTCACTTGACCCCTTACAGTCGTGGGATGAAATCCCCCATGACTCTAGCTCAGGCCTTTGGCAAACTGGAGAGACGAGCCATGGGTGAAATCTGGTGCCGACCACGGCTCACCTCTGGTGATGACCACCCCACTCTCCACTCCCCTGCAGCCCCGGTTCTCCCTGCCATGACCAGTGGAGACCCCTCCTTTCGCCCGCTGCTCCCCTAACTCTGTTTTCCCCCAGACCATGGCTTCTTGCCCGGAGCTGGAGGACGCCCCACGGGCCTGCTTGGAGGGGGCCGCCAGCCCCCCGTGCACAGGGCCCGCAGGGGCCGAGGACACCCGCAGACGTGAGTGCAGACCACCCGCCTCGGCGGCCCCCCGAGGGCCTCCCAGCTCTGCCCCCCGTGCCTCACGCTGGCCTTCCTTTGGACAGAGGAACCCGGCGCCCCCGGAGCCGAGACGGAACTTGCACTGGCCTGTTCCACTGTGGCTCTGGTGGAGGAGCCCGCGGAGGAGGGAGACCCCTGGGACCTGCCTGCCCTTCAGGACAAGGGCATCAAGTGGGCAGGTAAACACGGGGGGGCAGCCGCCTCACGTGACTCATGTCGCCCCAGCTCCCCAGGATCTTCTGTCTTGTAGCGCCCTGGCGGGGTGCCCTGAGGAGCAGCTGGCTAGAAACTCAGACAACACGATGACGGGCACCTTTTGTCTTCATGTTCATTCTCCACCTGTGCCAGGCACTGGGGTGGGCACCAGGGCAGACCCTGGCTGATCTGCAGACCCACAGTGACTCACCTGTCCCAGGGACTGGCAGGGGTGTACATAGAACTGGTGCTGGGGTGTCGCCTCACCCAAAATCACCCCTGTTCGGCCGGGGTCCAGCAAGCAGTGCACTTATTTGCAGGTGCAGCTGAAAGGTGGATCTGACAGTTAGGCAGGGCCAGGAGCATAAAGAGAGGAGTGAGGAGCACCTGGAAGGTGCGTGGAGAAGCAGCAGTCAAGGAGGTGCTTCGAGGGGGTGACGGCCCACGCTCCCCCAGTGCAGTGGCGATGGCTGCTTGCACCCACCTTCTAGAAAGTGCTTGTGCTGTTCTGTAAGTGCTTGGCGCGCCCTTAGCTCTGCCCGCTCCTGGGGTGGCAGGGGCCGCCACGGCTCCGCGGGGTTCCAGACACTCAATGCCTCTGTGCCTTTCCCCTCCTCCAGACAGGGACACCAGAGGGAAGTTTCTCTGCGTCTTCCAAGGGATCGGGAAATTCATCTTGCTTCTGGGACTTCTCTACTTGTTCGTGTGTTCCCTGGATGTGCTCAGCAGCGCTTTCAAGCTGGTTGGAGGTACGCGGGGAAGGGCAGATGGCCTGGGTGCAAATTGTTTACCAATATGTGAGTTCAGACAGTCACATCTCATCTAATTTCCACAAGTTGCATGCTCCTGTTTGATAGGATTGGGAGACACTCATTTCCTTTGTGAAGTTTATGCATTTTCGAAAATACAGACCTGAGACCCAGAAAATGCCACGAGCTGATGGTGGTTTATTTCAGGAGCCTCAAGCCGAGCCACTTCCAAGCTCTCAGTCCCTATGTGTGTGCATGGACCCAGGCAGGAAGAGATTTGATGAAAGATTAATGGTGAGGGATTGCTGATTTCCATAGACCTCCCAACGGAGTGTGTTATGGGATGAGTACATCTTCTTTGTATAAAGAACTTACAGAATTCAACAATAAAATGTACTGACTCAATTAACATGGGAGCATATCTAAACAGACAATTCCCCAAAGGAGACAGGCAGAAGGGTGTTAGTGACAGGGATGAATATTCATCAAGTGCCCAGTCAGAGAGGGGCGGGGAGCCACAGGTGATAGCACGTCACACCTGTCCCCCCCAACAACAAGGGCCCCCCAACAACAAGGGCTGGAGAATATGTGGCAAAAGAGGAATGTGCTTCTATACCTGCTCTGAAAAGCAATCTGGGGGCCTGCCCTGGTGGGGTAACAGGTTAAAGTGCAGCCCTGAAGCTGTCCACAGCCACTGCAGCATGAGTTCGATCCCCAGCCAGGGAGTGACCCACATGGCGTGGCAGAGCTTTCCTGACCTGCCCGCTGCTCCCCTCAGCAGTGTACTTCGTAGATCTGCCTGTTCTGCTCTCCACTCTGTCTCTGGTGAAGCCTCTCACTGCCCCCCACCTCTGGTCTGTACGCCAGTTCTTGTAAATAAATAAATCATAGAAAAGAAAGCAATCTGGATTTACCTTAAAAATAAAAAAAAACAAGGAAAACCCATATGAGCCAGTAATCCCACTCTTGGGCAAACATCCCTCTGTCAGTACTGAGTGTAGTTGAAACTTCAGGGAATTTGTGATCCGCTAACCTCTGTTCCCTGCTCATGGGTGTTTTTTCCCTCCCCCAGCAAAACTTGCTAAACATTTCTTCAGCAACAACTCTATTATGTCCACGCCTGTGGGGGGTCTGGTGGTTGGGATGTTGGTGACGGTCCTGATGCAGAGCTCCAACGTGGCCTCATCTGTCATTGTCAGCATGGTGGCTTCCTCACGTGAGTCCAGTACCCACAAGCCCAGTCATCCCAGGCTTTCACCGCTTGCCTGGGAGTCTGAGCTTTACTCTGAGAACACCCAACCCCTTGTGTGTCATGTGGCCCCTTGTCCAGGCCATGGGTGACTGAAATCACACTCCGATGCTCGAAAGCTCAGCACTGCCCTGTCCAGTCCAGCAGCCCCAGCCACAGTAAATTTCAGTTGTACGTTTAATGTTTCAAGGGACAATGGTCACGTGTCAGCAGCTGCCATCTTGGATGGTGTCAGTTGGATCACTTCCATCAGTGACAGACCTGCCCCACATCATGCATGGGCTTCAGGGCAGCTGAGCTCTGGGGGCCGGCCTGGCCAGCTGGACCCTCCCTGAAATTTGCTCTTGCTAAGTGGGAACATAACTGTATAACCAAAAACTTACATGTTTTTGGGTTGTTTTTTTTTTTTTCTGGGGGAAATTAGCAAAAGAGATCACTTCTTCAAAGTACTTATGTTTAATGTCAGGACATTGTGGCAATCCATTATCAATTTTTGTTAAGAAATTATACTGCCAGGAATTAGTTATTATAAATAAACAAATCCTTACATATTATTTCCTGGTTTGTTGTAAGCTGCCCTCCACTCCTCTAATATGGAGGAGGGGGAATTCGAAAGCCATTTAAAAGTAGGGTTCACAGAGGGCTTATGAGATTCTAGAGATTTCTGAAAATGATGTACTGGAACTTTTTGGGGGTAACATGTGCCTATCTATGGAGAGCCAGCCTGTCTCCAGAATTCTCAGCCTGGTGCAGACCTCAAAGAGGTTGCCATCAGCTGCTTTAGGGGACCGTCAGCCTGAATGAGGCCCACCCGCCTCAGGCCATCAGGCCGTGGTCAGGCTGCCTTCCAAGTGCTAACCGCCTTCTCCGCTCTCAGTGCTGACCGTGAGGACCGCCATCCCCATTATCATGGGGGCCAACATCGGGACCTCCATCACCAACACCATCGTGGCGCTCATGCAGGCGGGAGACCGCAGTGAATTCCGGAGGTAGGAGGTCGGCGCCAGCCCCGCCCCTGGGCCCATGGGAGCCCACGCTGGGGGGCCTTCCCTTGGCGGGCCGAAGCAGCGGCTTGTCGTTCCCAGAGCCATAGCAGGTGTCTGCCCTTTGGATGGTCTAAGGTCTTTGGATGTTTCAGATGAGCGGGCCTGGCTTGCCACCCTCTGGCAGCAGATGGGGATGAAGGACGCCATTTTGTCTTTCCTCAAGTTCTCTTGAATTTGAGGTTCTGCCTCAGACTGCCTCCTGGGTCTTCTACTCCCCCACACCCAGGTCATGTCCTGGGACCCCCAGAGACTCAGGGAAAACTCAGAGGCAGCTCAATTCGTCCTTCAACTACAAACCTCCCCACATGAGCAGCCCTCTCTATCCCAAACATGGCCGCCATTCTTAGACCGGTCCAGAGGTCCAATTAAGGACAACACTTACCTTTATGTAAAATGAAATCTAGAAGTCATTAAATCTGAATATAGGCTGGAGTCAGAGGGGAACGTGTCCACTATCAGAGGTAAGTCCCAGTACATATTGGTGCTGCTTTAGAGGGGCATTACTCTAAATTTCGTCAGAGCCTCGCTATCATAAAATGAGGTAAAAAATTCACTTGTGGCACAGTGGACCTTTCTTGTCTTTCCTGTGGCTTCCCTCAGCAGTGACTCAATAAACCCACCTTTTCTACTCTGCCTCTGGTGAATTCACACCCCCCCCCTCCAGACTACACCCAATTTTCCCTGCATCATTTGGAGGCCCAGATGGGGCTACAACTAGCAGAATAGTATAGGGGGACCCCTTGATTTCTCTCCTTTTCTTGTTCTCTGTTGTAGTATGAGGAACCCTCACAATAACTTTAGATATCCTGTTGGGGTACATCCCAATGTTACTGAAAGTTTCCAGGCTCCTTCAGTACTGCCGCGCCAGATCAGGCGGAGAACACCCTTTAGTTCTTTTGAAAACCCTGTTAGGCTCTTTGGCTCGTGGGCAACTCAAGGGGTCTGGGTGGGCAACCCAAGTGTCCTAGAAGGTCCCCACACTGTGCAGTCTGCAGCCCTTTGCCGCTCCTCTGTGGCTGGCTTTGGACCTGCATGCTTCTCGCGGTTATCCCCGATGACCAGCATGGCAATCCCCAGTTCCCAAAACTCTGCCCAACAACTTATCCTCAGTCAGGACACACGCAACTCATCACCCCAACCAACTAATGCCACCTGGAGTGTAAGCAGAGCCCAAAGGCCCTCACTCCCTGCAGCAGACTGTGCCTGTCTCACGCACTGTACTCTGACAGTGTATTTTGACAAATCCAGCTTTTCAGTGCTCAAAAAAAAGATTACACTGTGTCCAGGGTTTTAATAAGTGCCCCATCCTGTTCCTCCTTTTGCAGAGGAAGCTTGTCCTCCAAGCTCATGATTCGAAGTGGTCTGATGCAAGTTTTCCAAAATATGGTCCCTGGGCTTAATTTTTCAAAAGATTGATTTATTTATTCATACAAGAACTAGGGTACAGGCCAGAGGAGCAAGCAGTGAAAGGATTCACCAGAGAGAGATTTGGGGAAAAAAACAAACAGATGTACTTAAATACCCTGCTGAGGGGAGCAGCAGGCGGGCCAGGAGAGGACTGCTGTGCCACGTGGGTCACTTCCCTGGCCGGGGATCGATCTCTGTGCTACAGTAGCTGCAGACAACTTCACAGTGCTGCGCCTAAACTCTTTGCATCACCAGGGAGGATCCTAGGCTAATTTTTGTATCTATCATGTCTCGTTCCCTGTTTTCCACCCAGCTGTGAAAGCTGATGCCACATTGACTGGGGGAGGGCTCTGTCCACCACTGGGTAGTGGGAAGTTGTCAAGTGTCCATTCCTAGGCCCTCTTACCCTCAGTCCCTCACTGATCAAATGGGAATATGAGTAGCATGCACTTGGGGACTGGTGTTCAGATCACCCCTCGGTTTGAAAGTAAGATTATACTCATGCAGGTGCACGGGTCGGGGGCTCCTGGAGAAGATGCAGATTGACCTTCTAGAAGGGTGACTAATCTCACCGTATGTGGGGTGGGCCCCTGTCCCATAGGGCTTTTGCAGGTGCCACCATTGATGACTTCTTCAACTTCCTCACTGTGTTCCTGCTCCTGCCCCTGGAGACTACCACCCATTTTCTGGAGACCCTGTCTAACCTCGTTGTCCAGACCTTCCACTTCATGCATGGAGAGGATGCCCCCACGCTTTTGAAAGTTGTCACTGATCCCTTCACGAAGCTCATTATCCAGGTACCCCAGCTTTGTTCAGAGAGGGCAGGAGCCCATCCCCTCTCCCTGACCCCCACTTGTTCAGGGAAACAAGCAGAGTGGAGAAGGATGAGGGTCTGGAATCACTGCTCAGTAGCTGCCTCTGAAAAAGACTGAGAAAGCAAAACTTCAGAGACACTTGCTTGTTTTATACCCTTGACTTCAACATGTATGTCATCTTTATGGGCTCGGGACAGGTGCTTCTAAGGACTCAAAGATTTTCCATTGCCCCGTTATGCTCCCATGGCTGGCTCAATCCTAATGGGTTTGCTGATGAAGGATTATCCCACTCCTGGCCAAAGAGGAAGATGGCTGCCTTATCTCTTGGGCACACCAGGGTCTTCTCTGACACCAGCCTTCATGGACATGGTCTTGGGAAGAAAAGGCCAGCTTGGACCTTCCCTTCCACACTGACCTTCTGCTTTTCCGTGTCATTGACCACCCCGTGGATGTCTGTAGCACAGCCCTAGACACCATCCATGGCTCAGCTCACTGTTGTTAATTCACTAAACGCTGTCTGACCTCCAGGTGCTCTGGTCTACCTGGCAGTGCAGCTTGGGGGAGCCACAGGTGACTCCTGGGGGGGCTCACAGTCTGGTTCATGCCACAGAGTCCCCCCAGCATGACTTGCGTTTATTACCTTTCTCAGTTGGATAAAAATGTTATGAGCCACATTGCAATGAATGATGAATCTGCTGAAAACAAGAGTCTGGTCAAGATTTGGTGTGAGACCTCTACCAATACGGTGAGTTTTTAGGAATATTTCTGGGGGTGGGGTGAACAGCTGCGTCTGTACTTGAAGAAAAACCTTCCTTAAAGAAGGGAATAGGCTGGGGTAGGGGATGGTGAGGATTAGGGAATAGGCTGGGGGAGGGGGGATTAGGGACTCATGAATAATAAATACTGGCCAGCGAGAACACTAAAAACATAAATTCTTAAATTCTGGATGGACAGATGGAAGGAATAGGACAGAAAACCCCCTTTGCTCCATCTCCCACCACATAGGCATATTGTCGCTGGCTGGTCATACACTCACCTGGTGCCTCTGTTTCTGTTATTGGAGTGACCTGTGCTCACAGTGCACACACTTGTGTGTCTGGTGACCTCCTCACCCCCTACCTTACCTGCTGCTCCCACTGAGAGAACTGTGCATTGTAAACCCTGTCCTCATATCTGTCACAGACTCAGGTGAATGTCACCGTCCCCGCACCTGAGAACTGCACCGCCCCTTCCCTCTGCTGGACGGACGGTGTCTCCACCTGGACCATCAAGAACGTGACCTACAAGGAGAATATCGCCAAGTGTGAGTGGCACAGGCAGACCCCGGCCCCGGGGGGTGCGGGGGGGGCTTGTGTGTGGTGCCCCAACCATGAAGCATAGAAGGGCAGTGAGACCTGCTGAGCCCAAGCTCACCCTGCTCCCTGAGCCACTTGCTTCCACAGTGGAGGAAACTGAGGCTGGGGCAGTGACAGGCCCAAGGCCCCATGGGAGGGGCAGCAGTGGGCCTGGCACCCAGGTCTCTGGCTGTTCCATCTCCTCAGACCCCGTCAGCACACCCTAGAGTGTCCCCTCCAGGAGCCGGGGTGTCCCCCTGGCAGGGACTCTAAGGAGGTGACAGCCAGGGTGGAAGGAGAGGTTGGGCCCACACAGAACAGACATCACCCCCGGTCACGAGTCCCTGCTGTGCAACCAGACCCCCTCAAGGACCTGGGCTGAGGCACTCAGCAAAGTAGGGAGCCTCCTGTGGGGTGCTGCTGTGTGTGTGGAACACCAGGATGATACTATTATTTCTATATGTGATATGATGTAACATTATGTCTGCAAACTTCTCCAGACCAGGCATCTTTATTTTTTCCATTTATTCATTTTGCACCATTTGTATGTTTCTCCATTATCCCAAACTTACATTATTTGTGAGCAGTAGACCTTAATAAACCAGGTGTGCTTTGACACACAGAGTCAAACGAACATAGCAAGACCCCCTCTATATCCTAGGTGCTTGCATCCGCCTCTATATACATATTTTGCTGGAACCATCGTGAGGACATCCAGAGAGTCTAAAAAACAAGGAGTTTTAAATAGGTAATACCAGGTCCTCCCTGATGGCGCAACAGGTTAAAGCGCAGCACTATGAAGCTTCCACAGTTTGGTCCAGCCCGGGAGCTGACCCACGTGGCACAGCAGATCTCTCCCGTCCCCCCTCCCCCCGACTTCTCCCATCAACAGTGTTTTTCAGTCCATCTGCCTGTTCTGCTCCCCACTCTGTCTCGGGTAAATCTTCTCACTCCCTTGCACTCTGGCCTGTACCCTAGTTCTTGTGTGCATAAGTAAATACCTCTTTAAAATAAATAAATAGGCAGTATACCCACTTGCCCATCCTACCCTGCTCAAATATTTTGTTGTGAGCAACCACAGCATCATGCGAGAAGCACACGTGGGATTCAGAGTTAGGAGATCTGGCTGGCGGCCAGCGTCACCCCGACCTACTGAATGCCTCGAAGGATTTCACCTCCTCTCCCAGCATCAGCTGATGCCCTCCCAGTGCATGTTCTCAGAGCTACGTGCAGCTGCAAGAGAGGCTGGGAGTCTGGACTGTCACACGCCACATATTAACCAGGTCCTGCTGCTCCAGGGCAGAAGGATGTTTAGGGAGAAATAAGACGCTGTGGCCCGGGGGGGACCCTGTCCTCCTAATGGGATTTCCCTTGGTCTCCTCAGGCCAGCACATCTTTGTGAATTTCAACCTCCCAGACTATGCTGTTGGCATCATCCTGCTGATCGTGTCCCTGCTGGTCCTCTGTGGCTGCCTGATCATGATCGTCAAAATCCTGGGTTCTGCGCTCAGGGGGCAGTTAGCTGCTGTGATTAAGAAGGTCCTCAACACTGGTAGGTGCACGGGCCCCGTCCTGGGCCCTCTGGGCCCCGGCATTTCTGTGACGTCCTGAGAAGGGAGGGCCTTAGAAAGTAGTGTTCCACAGAGCTGCAGACAGGGGTACCCAAGGTCCGGTGCCTCTCAGCTCAGAGTCTGAGCACCTGCTTCCTGTCTTACAGGTGGCCACTTTCTCACGTGGTGGAGGGAGTGGCAAGGGAGCAAGGCCTGTCCTGTACAGGCACTGGCCCACTCACGAGGGCCCTATGACCTGACCTACTCCCAAAGCCCAAATCTAACATAGTAACATTGGGGCTAGGATGTCAGTATATGAATACAATGGGGGCGAGACCTTCCGGACACACCAGCTGCATGCAGCATTCTCACCTCTGGCCTGCAGCGACTACATATCTTTGTTCTCACCCCTCACCCACACCCTCGGACCCACCATGTGAATATGCAGGGTTAAGGGTTCTAAAATTATAATATGCGTTTTCAGACCATGCTGTGTGGTGACTGACATTTACACAGATTAACAATCTAGCCCCAGCCCACTCCCGACTGGCCCTATAGATGTTTCAACTGGGTCTTCATTTCATGGGTCCCTAGAAGGGCAGTTTAGTCTTATTCTTCTCTTCCAGATTTCCCCTTCCCCTTCGCCTGGGTGACCGGCTACCTGGCCATCCTTGTGGGAGCCGGCATGACCTTCATCGTGCAGAGCAGCTCCGTGTTCACATCGGCCATCACCCCGCTGATTGGTGAGTTCCACTCTGGCTTCCCCATTTAGCTACCATCGCCATGTTCCAGATTCCCTGAGACTGACAATATGGCCTTTGTGACCCCGCACCCTCACCCCCGGCCAGGTGTTGGTGTGATCTCCATCGAGAGGGCGTACCCACTCACCCTGGGCTCCATCATTGGCTCCACCACCACCTCCCTCCTGGCCGCCCTAGCCAGCCCAGGCAGTACTCTGAGGAGCTCACTCCAGGTCAGTGGATGCTGAGTGAGTAGGAATTCTGTGGCTGAGATACAGCTCCACATGTGGGCTTGCAAACAGATGGTTTTGAACAAGAGTCAAGCTTTTTTGTTATAATACAGTCGTTATTTGGAGGAAAAGTGACTACTGGGCAGCTCAGAGAAGGATTGAAGCCTGCCACTCCATAGAGAGATGACATCCCATTGCCAGTGTTTTGGTTATTTTATTTTTGGAGGAAGAAAAACAATTTAAAAAGTAAATACCAACCAACATTGTTTATGTCCCTTTCACCCCACCTCTGGTACCCCGGTTCTACTAACAATGCCTTTGTCAGGTCATTGACTCTGTCTCATGTTATTGATATTGGTGTTTCCCCTTCTGGATAACTGAGCTTAGCGTAACCCCCTTGGGGTCCTCCCATTTTGCTGCAAAGTGTAAAATTTCATTTTTCTTTATAGTCAAATAGTATTCCATGGTGTAACACACCATCCCATATGAACCAAATGTCACTATGAGGCACTCTGGCAATGCTCCTGTCTCACTCGTTGTAAATAATGCCGTCACAGCTTTGTGGAACTATAATGGTCATGGTTTCATATTCTTTGGCTTGATATTCAGAAGTGTGATTGCTGGATCATAGGGTGTAACTAATTTAGCTTTTGAAGACAAGTCAAGAGCACTTGTCACAATGGCTCCTCCAACTTGAGATCCCACCAACAGCGTCAGGTTCTTTTTAATCCCAATTTCTCACCAACATTTGTTGGTAGGAGTCTTTGGATAGACACCACTCCACTGGTGCAAGATGATTTCTCACGGTGATCTTGATTTGCGTTTCCCTTATTAAAATGGCGATAAGGGCCCTCCCTGGTGGCACAGTGGGTTAAAGTGCAGCACTATGAAGCTACCCACAGCCGCTTCAGCACAAATTCAATCTCTGGCCCGGGAGGTGACCCAAATGGTGCAGCAGACCTCTCCTGTCTCAGCCGCTGCTTCCCTCAGCAGTATTCTTCATCAGTCTGCCTGTTCTGGTCCCCACTCTGTCTCTGGTGAATCCTCTCACTTTCTCTGTAGGTCTGGCCTATGTCCCAGGGCTGTATATATAAATAAGTCTTTTTTAAAAAGCTACTTTTAAAAAATAAACAAAAAATAAAATAGTGATAAACACTTTTTCATATATCTGTTATCCATCTATTTATCTTTCTTGAAAAAGTGTCGATTCAGATCTTCTGCCTATTTTTTAATTGGGTTAATTGGGGTTTTTTTTATATTTAATATAGTTTTTCAGTTCTTTCCTTCATATTTCGTCTCTTTCCTCCCCTATCTTTTGAACCTCAGAGCCCTCAGGATATTTATGATGTCCACTGGTTGAACTGTTCTACATTATCAAATTGTCTGCTGTGCAAATATCTAGTATTTGTGTTTATCAATCTTAGTTTGCTACATTAAATGTCTCCTATTCTTTCCTCCATTTTGTTGAAAATGTCTGCATTTCCTCCATTCTGACACTAACTACTACTCCTACATCTTTTCGATCCAATCATTCATCAGTGTACATCTGTGCTGTTTCCTGCCCTACTTATTGTGAATAATGTTTCTTTGAACAGTATGCAACATTTTTTTTTTGGTTGTTGTTGAAGTTTCACATTCTTTGTGTAGGAGGCATGAGTGGGATTGCTGGGTGACATGGTACTTTCATTTTTAATTTTTTAAGGTCAATTCAGGTAGTTTTTCATAATAGGTTCCCAGCTTACATTCCCGTCAACACTGCAATGGGGCTCCATTTCCTCCACAGTCTCCCCAGCACTTTTGGAGGTCTTTTTAATATGTGCCATCCTCATGGGCAGGAGATGGTATCTCATTGTGGCTCTGACCTCATCTCCAATATTAGAAGTAATGATAAACACATTTTCATACGTCTTTTGGCCTTCTGGATATCCTTTTAGGTGAATCGTCTAGTAATACCTGCTATCTGTTAATTAATTGGCATATTGTATTTATTTTCTACCATTGAATTGTTTGAGTATTTTTATAATTCCTGGGTGTTGATCCCTTATTAATTATATATTGAATAAATATTTTCTTCCATTCAATCTGATGTCTTTTAAGAGCTTGTATTTTTTTTCCATTGTGTAGAAGCCTAAACCTAATTGTTTATTTTTTTTTAAATTCCCTTGCCATGGGATTCACCAAAAAATATCTTTATCATTGGTATCATGAGTAGATTGCCAATATGTCCCTCTATGTATTTCCTTGTAGAAGGTCTTATATCTAAATTGTTAATCTGGAGTTTATTTTTGTATATAGGGTGTGATACCACTTCTTTCATACCCAGATATTGAAATGTTTTAGTAGCCAAATTTTTTTTAAAGTAAAAAAATTACTTTAAAAAAAAGTTGGGGGTTCAGTCAATGGTGTACTTGATTTAGTTGATTTAAAAAAATTAAAGACATTTATTTATGCATATAAGAACTGGGGTCCAGGCCAGAGGTGGAGGACTGAGAGGCTTCACCAGAGACAGAGTGGGGAGCAGAACAGGCAGATCGATGAAGTACACTGCTGAGGGGAGCAGCGGAGGTTACAGGAGAGGTCTGCCGCGCCATGTGGGTCACCTCCTGGCCGGGGATGGAACTCATGCTGCAGTGGCTGTGGAGAGCTTCACAGTGCTTAACCCATTGTGCCACCAGGGAGGGCCCTGATTTAGTTCAGTATCATTTCAACTTATAAGTGATAAAGAATTAGTGTTGCATCTACATCCTTCATTGGAGCCAGTCTTTGCAACCCAGTTTGTGTTTACTGCCAGAGCACACCTCAGTGGCAGGCAGCCTCATGCACACGCCCTGTGGCTGCAGGAGGCTGGTGCTTACTGTATGGGCTGGTTACAACTGATCCAAACCCCCAGCATGATGCTGGCATCTAGTGGGCTCACATAGGAGAGAGACAAACTGTGTGGCCTTAGAAGCCACCTGGTGTGAGTCCCCCCTGTACTATGTCTGTGTGTGACTTTGGGGAAATTGCTTTACCTCCCATGTAAGATGGGACTACTACTTATTTTTTTAAGATTGATTTACTTATGCACATAAAAACTGGGGTACAGGCTAGAGATGCAGGGTGAGAAGATTCACCAGAGACAGAGTAGGGAGCAGAACAGTCATAATTGACTGAAATACACTGCTGAGGGGAGCCGTGGTGAGACAGGAGGGGTCTGCTGTGCCATGTGGGTCACCTCCCTGGCTGGGGATTGAACTCCTACTGCAGTGGCTGCCAATAGCCTCATAGTGCTGTGCTTCAACCCGCTGTGCCATCAGGGAAGGCCCAGATGGGGACTATTTAGTGGTGACATCATAGGTCATCTTTGACTGATGAAACCACATAATGTGCTTTGAATGTCCCAGCACAAAGTGAACATACTATGAACATAAGTTGCTGTCTATTATTTTTAGTATCTACGTAATCATCCTCCTTTTCTCCCTTCTCTAAAATGGTGCCATCAAATTGGAAATCCCAGCTTTGCAGTAAGATTTTCTCTGCCCCAACAGCTCTAAACTGCACAACTGGAAGCATCAGGACCAAGACACACAGTAGGTCTTCAGGTCACAGAGGTGTGGGCCAATGCAAGGCACCACAAAACGCTCCACTCCGCCCAGGTGCTGCTGGGTGACCCCATCTCCCCACCCCCACCGCACAACAGACCCACTCACCTGGACAACCTCCATTGTGTTTTAGATTGCCCTGTGCCACTTCTTCATCATCATGTCCGGCATCTTGCTGTGGTACCCCATCCCGTTCACCCGCCTGCCCCTCCGCCTGGCCAAGGTGCTGGGCACCATCTCAGCCAAGTACTGTTGGTTTGCCGTCTTCTACCTGATCGTCTTCTTCTTCCTGATCCCCCTGGCAGTGTTCGGCCTCCTGATGTTTGACTGGCCAGTGCAACTGGGCTTGGGGTTGCCAGCCATCCTCGTCCTGCTTTCTGTGGTGATTATCAATCTCCTGCAGTCCTGCTGCCCCAGTGTGCTGCCCGAGAAGCTGCGGAACTGGGACTTCCTGCCCCTGCGGATGCGCTCGCTTGAGCCGTGGGACGGCCTGGTCTCCTCGGCCACCAGGTGCTGCCAGAGGCGATGCTGCTGCTGCTGCCCCAAATGCAGCAAGTGCTGTGAGGACCTGGAGGAGGCGTGGACACCGCAGTGCACAGCCCTGTAGCCTCTGAGAACTTGGCCATGGGCACAGAGGCCCTGGATGGGGTCTCTTGGCCCAAGTGGTTGCGTGGGCATACATACCATCTCTAGCATCACAGCCTTATAGGGGTGGCCAGAGGCAGGCCAGGGGTCCCTTGTCACACACGTCCACGCTCTCCAGGCTCTGCATGGACATTGAAGGGTGTTGTTCCTCACGGAGAAATGGAGTTGACAGCAGCCTGTCTATCTGATTGCAGTCTCTGCTCCTGGGTCTCCCACTCCCAGAAAGGTGCAGGATGACCCCGAGAATGACATTGACTGGACAGATGACCACAGACACTCACCCCTGCCCACAGCTGGTAGGTCAATTGGACCTATGTTCAGCTCAAACCATTCTTTCCAGGAAACAATACCCCATAGGAGGGATTTATAGAAGTTTCTCGAAGGTGCTCGTCTAAGTATGTGGATGGATGCCCAAATACAGACAGGCTTTATGTATTATATCTCTTTTTTCTGCACTCATAAAATTGTTAACATTTATGGATGGTTACAAACACATATAAGGAAAAGTATACATATTTCTATCATACATTTGTAATTATATATTCATACGTGTGAATGTGTAAGAAAATACAATTACATTTCTATTTTCCTTTCCCTGATTTTGTGGCCATGAAGTTATGTTCTTTTGTCTCTATTGAAAAACTATAATGATAAAAAAAGGTGGATCAGTCCTCAGGAAGTGTATCGGTTGTGTGTCTTGATTTGACCCAGGGGAATCTCCCTCTACAAGTTTCAGCTCCATGATCACATCTGCAGAGCCAGGGAGTTTTCCTGTGACCTCACGGAACTGTCCCAGTGACCACAGGTGGGTGTTGACGGGCCAGGAAATGCCTGTGGCTTTCGCGCCACTGAGCTCCAGTCTGGAAAGAAGTCACTGCATCACTGGTCTCTCCCTCTTCCCTCCCTGTCACCTTCCTGCTGCACCCACCTATGGTCCTCTGGGCCTCTGGGGAGTTGGGGCCCCCTCTGGCCACCCTGAGCATGAAGGCAGGACTCACCCTCAGTGCTCATGGTTGTGATGTGGGAAAGGACTCTTTCTTTAGAGAGTGTTGGAGAATGAAATAAAAATTCTAGTGAAAGAATTGTGTGAGCTGTGGTCAGGGGGTCCCGATAGGACCCCTACATGCTTGCAGGGGACCTTCTAGGTTCCTCCAAGCGTCAAGCAGTGTGCTGGGCACGGGCTGGCAGTGGAGGAAGTTTCCCCTGTTCTCGAGGACCTTCAAGGATCCAGCAGGGGAGAAACAGACCGACTGTGCCTGTGAGTTGCGTGGGGAGTTGGGTAGGTGGGGAGGTGGGCTGGGCAGGGGAGTCAAACGAGCCTGAGCAAATCCTATCGCAGCCTTAAATCTGTGACCTGGGGCAAGTTATTTAGCTTCTGTGGCCCAGGAGCTTTTTATCTCAGAAATATGGAGGTGTCTGCTTTGTAGGATAGTTTTAAGGACTGGAGATTTCCCCAAACATCTGGTATTAGCATCTCTCCTACGCCCTCAGTGGGCCCCACCCACTTTTGCTGCAAGCTAAACAGCAGTATTTGTGAAATCCTGGGGTTGATAGTGAGTTCTGATTTTTAACTTTTTAAAAAGATTTATTTATTTATGCGAACAAGAACTGGGACACACACCAGAGGTGTGGGATTGGCAGTGAGAGGCTTCACCAGAGACAGAGTGGGGTGCAGGACAGGCAGGTCGACGAAGTACACTGCTGAGGGGAGCAGTGGGCGGGTCAGGAGAGGTCTGCCCGCCATGTGGGTCAGCTGCTAGCTGGGGACTGAATTCCGGATAGCTTCACAGTGGTGATGTGCACTTTAAAACCGTTGTGCCACCTGGGAGAGCCCCTAATTTTTTTTTTCTTTAAAGATTTATTTATTTGTGCATACAGAACTGGGGTACAGGCCAGATGCTCAGGGGCGGTGAGAGGCTTCACCAGAGACAGAGTGAGGAACAGAATAGGCAGATTGACGAAGTACACTGCTGAGGGGAGCAGCGGACGGGCCAGGAGAGGTCTGCCGCGCCATGTGGTCACCTCCGGGGCAGGCGGGAATTGAACTCATGCGGAAGTGGCTTTAGATTCTCAGTGCAGTGCTTTAACCCGCTGCGCCACCAGGGAGGGCCCAAGAGAGCCCCTAATTTTTAACATTTTCTAATGACGATTAAGGCAAGTGAATAATAAGTGTAAAAATTTTTAAAGTTCAGGCTCTCCCTGGTGTTGCAACGGATTAAAGCATCACATTATGAAGCTCTCTGAAGCCACTGCAGCACGAATTCGATCCCCAGCCAGAGAGCTGACCCACATGGCATGGCAGACCTCTCCTGACCCGCCCATTGCTCCTCTCAGCAGCGTATTTTGTTAATCTGCCTGTTCTGCTCCCCACTGTCTCTGGTGAAGCCTCTTATCCCCCACACCTCTGGCCTATTCCCAGTTCTATAAGCATAATAAATAAATCTTTAAAACAATTTTTAAAGTTCATTCAGCTCCACCTAGAGACATTCCCTGGGTCTCCAGGGGTATGAATGCCATGGCTAGAGGAAGGCTCAACTTCTGCAGTAAAACAGCTGGCATGTCCCTTGGCGTGCGGTAATGTTCAAATACACACGATTTTTCTGCCTCGGCCAAGTAAGCACAGAGTAGGTAAGAGGATCAGCTGCTTCCAGGCTGGCAGCAGAGAAGCTAGAAAGGGTCCTAGCAGAGGTGACATCCAAACAGCCTTGAAGGCTGAGCTGCTGAAACCTCTCCAGGCAGCTGGAAGGGCTGGAGACGGGGGGAGGGCAACAGGGGTGATTCCAGAGAAAAAGGGGGTCAGTCAGGAGCAAGACCAGCACCTTAGAACACTCCAGGAATTGCCTGCAGGGCAGCCGGTGCCTGGGAGAGGTGACCCTGAAGGGACAGATAAGCCACCCAGGAAAAGATAAAGAATACTGTGCAAGCTCTGGAGAGCGCATTTGATCCTGGTGACAAGGAGCGCTGGGGCCGCAGTTGCAGTCTAAGAAGGTCACAGAATGGCTCACAGACAGAGGGCCCGCAAGGCTGGTCAGTCTATAAAAACACCTCCCATGTTCCTGGTCTGGTCCTCTCCCTCGCTCACGGGGCTTCCAAACAAGTCAGCCCACCTGGACCTGCTCATTTATTCCAGCAGGAAGGGGGTGCTTTGTTTCTGCCGAGCACGTGCCCTGAGGGGAATGGTGGCTGTGGCCTTGTCAGGAGCAGGGGCGCAGGGGCGCAGGGGCCTCCCTCCACCCCTCTGCACAAGCAGGGCCTGCGAACTGTCAATCACCCTTTTTCTTTTCTTTTTTTTCAACCTTACACAATCTTTTTTTTTTTTAAATAATATAATATAATAGTTTTTTTCCCCATCATTTTGTGCATTTTTCCATCTCAGTTGTCATCCCCGTGGGCTTCCCATCACCAAATCACCCGTGTGCCATCACCAAAGTCCAGTGCATTCCCCTCCCCCCACTGTTTTTGATCCCATTCCCCACTCCACCCCCATAAATTGTCTCTGGTGTGTAACTGTTCATTATTACTATTATTACTTTCTCGCCTGGTCTGTTGTACTCCTGCTATGAGCAAAACCTCCCGGTATTTTTCCTTTTCTTTCTGGCTTATGTCACTAAGCATGATCTTTTCCAGCTCCATCCAAGTTGTTGCAAAAGACATGTGTTTTTTTTTTAATTGCCGAGTAATATTCCATTGTGTATATGTGCCACATCTTTTTTATCCAGTCATCTACTTTTGGGCATTTGGGCTGCTCCCATCTCTTTCCAATTGTAAATAAAGCAGCAATAAACATGGGGGTACAGGTATCTTTTTGAATCAGTGTTTTTGGGTCTTTTGGGTAGATACCTAGGAGTGGGATTGCTGGGTCGTAGGGAAGCTCCGTGTTTAGCAGTTTGAGGAACCTCCAAACAGTTTTCCATAGTGGTTGTACTAGTTTGCATTCCCACCAGCAGTGCATGAGAGTTCCTTTTTCTCCACATCCTCGCCAACATTTGTTGTTGCTAGTTGTTTGAAGATGTGCCATTCTCACTGGGGTGAGGTGGTATCTCATTGTGGTTTTAATTTGCATCTCCCTTATTATGAGTGATGTTGACCATTTTTTCATATGCTTGTTGGCCATGTGTATTTCCTCCTTGGAGAAGTGTCTTGGTAGCTCTTTTGCCAATTTTTTGATGGGGTTGTTTATTTTTGTTGAGTTTCATCAGTTCTTTGTATATCTTTGTGATCAATCCTTTATCACTAGTTTTGTGTGAGAAAATTTATTCCCAATCAGTGGGGTCTGTCTTTGGTACTGTCTCCTTTGCTGTACAGAAGCTCTTTAATCTTATGTGGTCCCATCTACTTATCCTTGCCTTCACTGTTGTTGCATTGGGCTTACACGATCTGTTAATGCAGCCACATGACATGCCCATTCGTTTGGTTTCATGACCTCGGGCAATCACCCCTTTTTTTTTTTACCAATCAAACCTTGATTCCTTGTCATTCTGCCAACCCGCAGCTTTTCTTACCTCAATTCTTTGCTATGATCTGCAGACCAGTCTGAGGCACAGCTGGAACCAGACGCAGCTAGTGCATCCTCAGTGAATTCTTCAGTCTCACTAAATCTCAGCATCTTCATCCATCAAGCAGAGAAAATGCATTGATAAATCTGTCTCATAGGAAGAGTGCGGAGTTTTGTTAGGTACTGAATGTTAGTATGTGTTATACTATTCTGTGTGGCACGGAGAAGTTCAATAAGGACTTGGCATTATTGATATTATTATTATAAGTACTGACATTATTATTATAAGTGGAACAGTGAGGAACAACCCCCAAGCCAGAGGCTCATAACCATCCTCAAGCAACTAAAATATATAGTTTGGCTCAGGTCATTCTTCTGGGCTCCAAGCACTTCTTGATTGCTGATTGCAAAGGGAACTCTGGACCCAATGGGCAGAGTGTCAGGTTTGGGGGTAGGAGGTCTGGGGC